TCTTTCTGTGCGCCAAAAAAGAAAACATACGGTAAATTACACCCTCGCATGATTCAAACTGGCCAGTTTTTTTTCTAGCTCTAGTTTGATCCGATTGGAATAACTGATGTTTTATAGTTTTTTTCCGATTACATTCATTTTGCGGATCTATTTTCCTCTATATTACAAAGCCTCGTTTAAACATCAGAACTCCAACAACCACAACAAGTATCGATGATAATAAGTTTATATTTGTTTACCATTAGCCAGACTTTGCTGTTTCTCCACACAAATGAAGCAAACAGGTTCTGATCGCTTTTCCTCACACTGACAGCAATGGATAAAAAAAGATGTAGAGTGTTTATTTACCTGACAGCTCTCCACCACGCAGCGGTTTCCAATGAGCAAAAAGGACGCAGAGGATCAGAAAAGAGCGTTTCCAGTCCTCCATGGTTTCACCTGAAGAAATCTGAGAGGAAATGAGTTTTCCTGCAGCAGGAATCAATCAAAGCATCTCAGCAGCGAAATTACACTGACTGGGAAAGATGCTGAAAATGATCCACAGCCGTTTCGTTTCCCCTTTTCTTTTCTTTCCTTTTTTTTAAGGTGACCAACTTCTGCTCTAAAGTTGTTCCTTTCCTTCTTTGCGTCACTTTGGAGCTTAATCCAACATACTTCTAACTCCAGATGTTTGCCAGTGGTCTATTTCTAGCGTCTGAAGGAGTATTTTTAAACTTCTCTTCAGTCTGTTCCTCTCTGCTGCCCACCGGCTCCTCTAGACGCCCCCCTCTGACTTTCTTTAACCCTCCTCTCTCCACAAAGAGGATTGAAATTCCTCGACTCAAACTCCTTTAACTCGCCTCCTCCTCCTCTTGTTCCTCCTCCTCCTCCTCCTCCTCCTCTTCTCTGAGGTTGTGAGAAGCCTCCCTGCATGCAGATTTTCTTAACACAATTCCTCTTTCTTTTCTTTCTTGAAATGACACACTGATACAAAAGTTTGAAACTGGCCCTGTTTATTTCCCATGAGGACATCAACAAGGCAAACAGAATAAATCCAAACAAACCAGGTATAGAAAGTGGTGAAGGAGTTTTACTACCCAGGTAAATAAACCATCTAGTGTGAGTCCTATCTAGTTACACCAAATCAGAAGGTCTGAGTTCTAGAAAACCTGTATAGACTGAATCTTAATGACTTCTTTGAATATTGATTATATGTTTATTATAAAAAGGTAAGATGGCATAAATAATGAGCAGAAAGACTTAACATGGCAAATCATTTATACATCATCTCTTTCCTAAAATGATAAATAGTAGAAGGAGTCTACAATGTCAAACAAAATACTCTAGGGATGATAAAACTCAGCATTTGTTTTGGAGGTGTCCAGGTTTTTTTAAATTATCTAATTATTTAATTATCTATGCTTATATCATTTACGCTATGAAAAAAGTGGTTAATTGTTACAGGGAATCTCAGCAAGAGTTTGTGACCCAAATATGCTGTGGAAAGCAAGAAAAAAAATATGAGACAAGAAAAACCTTTTATAAAGGATTATGCACTAAAAGACCAAAATATGAAGGAAAAAAATGCCTGAGATCTTATTTTTCTAAAGTAATAGCTTCCTTCTTTAAAAAGAGCTCTTATTACATTTTGGATGTGCATTCAGGAACACTAGTCTGACAATTCCCATCAGAAAAGGATTCTAATTCAATAGATAGCATAGATATGGTGCTTATTTTGAACATTATTATTTTATTGAGTAATTGTTTTTTTTAAAGCTCCCAAAGAGCAGATTGGAGTGGATGTGTTCAAATTGAATATTTTTCTGATTTGATACTCATTTTTTTTTTTTTTTTTTTTAGAAAGGTTGCAAATTCACCAATTTACTTAGAAACAAAACTAACGCTAAATGTTTTGGTCATTGATAAAAGTGACTAATTTCCTCCTCTTTTAACCACGTTCTTTATTTTATTGGTTTTTACATTTTATTTGGTTTAAAATTTCTTGAAAACATCATATATTTCAAAACTATAGAGGTTAAGCACAACTTGTACACTTGTCAGTATTTATTGCTTTGTGGCCCCATAGGCTGCCTCTGACTTCATGTCATCAAAACTTTGAGACAAAAAACATCAGCAGCAGCTTGTCTCTGACTCACATCTTTTTGTGTGCTAATGATGTTGATGTCTGCTCCAGATGTTATTTTTTCCTTTTCTTTTTTGATTCTGGCTTCTGATTCATCTTCATCTCATGAAAACAATTGGGAGATTCTGGCTCTCAGATTGCTGGCCCTTTAAGAGTGTTTCTGTAGACTGTGTTGTGTTCCCAGGGTCTTTAATGGAAACACAGAGGGACTGAGAAAGACCCCATTGTATATTTTTTCCCTTTCATTAGGAGCCTGAGCACTGGTCTCAGATAGGAGCCGGGAGACAGAGGCAGGGAGGGAGGGAAGGGGGTCATGGAGGGGCTCCTGTACAAGAAAAGAGGGGTGCTCTACTCAGAAACAAACTTTGAAGCTGGATGAGCCTGCAGGGAGAAGTAGATATTTTGGTTTTTCAGGGGGATGGGCCTATCTGGCTTCAAAATATCAATGGAGGATATTTTAAATGTATGCAAGGTGAAAACTGCAGTCTCCTAAGTGGATATTTAAAAAGTCTTCATTAGGGATGAATCGAGTGGTTTTAAGGAGACACCTTGCTGTTGTATTTAAAGGTAAACATAGTATATTCTAACTTTGTGAAGCTGAGTGCTCCAGTGCCCTCTGCTGGAATTGTATTCAAACTGCAAGAGGTGTAAGGTGCAAGGTGAACAAGAGGAATTCACATAAAAATGAATGAATGTTTATGAGTAATGGCATCCTCTTTACAGAAAACCTCTCAATGGTGGTTATATGATTAACTTACCTATTCATTAGCTCTGTTTGCTGTTTAGAAAACAATATTTTGATGATATATTTGTGTACAGCACAGCTTGTTTGTACTGGTTTTCACTAACTTGAATAAACTGGTTGTGAAAATCATTGAACTCTGCATGCTGCTGCTAATTCGCTATCCTTGTATATCTGCAGACTTTCCCATTGTTTGTTTTTATAGATCTCTGCTTTGGCTATTAATTTCTAATTCTGTGTCTTTATAAATACTAAAGACCTAACATGCATGTTCTTTCCCAGAATCCCTGTTCTAGGAGAAATGTGATTTATTAGCACATGCTGTTTCCTGTAATGACAAACAATGTCTAACTTGTTTTTTTTTTTCAGTGTTGTCCTGTATTTAGCATCCCATCAATTCTGACCTGTTGTCCTGTATCTGCTGAAGAAAACCACCACAAAGCTGGTGGTGTACACAGGGTAACGCTTTTATGATGGGGTGTCATAGGAAAGGGATATAGCCCCCTTTACAGATTTTAATTTTATAAATTATTTAAAGAATATATATTTTCCCCCTTTCTACTTTGTAGTTATGAATGGTCTGGTCTATAACAAAAATATAAATTAAATACACAGTTGTGTTTATTAAATTTGACTTATTAAGTTATACTTAATTACAATTCAAATTAAAATATAATGTTATATACTCTATATGGTATTCTGTGTGACTATTTATATTTTATGCTTTTTCCATAATTTTCTGGTATAAAAACTGATTTGAAGCTAATAAAGAAGAAGCAATCAACCAAAAACAGCCCCTCTACACTGAAAGTGTAGAACTAGAACCAGAACCCACGGGAGACATGTTCTTTCTGGGGTTGGTCCGAGGCCCCTCATACCTGCTACTGTATTTAACAAACATAATAATCTTTTTTACACCACAGGAATTTGGATCCAGGTGTTCACACGTATACAGTTATGCTTAACACTAAGCTGCAGCTTTAACTACATATAGCTTTGAATATCATTGTATAATTATCATATCCATCTGATATTCACCCTTTTGTCCTGGCTGTTGTGTTATGTATTTTTTTCCTTTCTTCCTTTTTAATTTTTGCAGGTGTGACAGAATAGCTCTGTTTTCTGTGACTTCTTAATTCTCTCTCCCTATCTCTATCGTCCTCTGTTTCACCCCTTAATTCTTATCCTATCTCCCTTCCCCACCTCTATCTCCATGTCCAATGCATATCTTTTTTCCCCCCTAAAAGCAACTTCTGATAAAGCTTCACAGATGATTACTAAGTGAGGCCTTATGAGAACAGCCACGATGGTTCACTCGTGAAAGCTAATCTGTTGGGCTATTTTCCAGCACCAAGACATAGATTTTTATTGCTATATTAGAATAGAGTTCACTTTATTGTCATTACACTGTCACAAGTACAAAGAAATGAAATGAACTCTCTGTTTTAACCCTTCCCCTTGGAGAACAGTGGGCTGCCATAGTGCAGTGCCTGGGGAGCAGTGTAGGGGTCTTGCTCAGGGACACAGAGTGACAGTCTGTGTAACTGGGACTTGAACTCAGAACCTCTGGGACCCAAGCGCAATGCGCTAACCACTAGGCCGGCACTCCCCGAGAAGCACATCTTTTGACAAGGATTGGATTGACAAACATACGGAAAAGGATTAGGGAAAGAAAAAAAAAGTTAACTGACTTTTTTTCTCAGAATTCTGACTTTAATCTCAGAATTTTGGATCTTAATGTAGATGGGCACCATGAAGGCAGAGATGTGGGAGCACTCAGTTTCACTGACAATGCTGTGAGTTGTTTGAGAGGGCCAGTAACACATTGGTGGAAAATGATGGAATTAGGCAACTTTTTACGTGCTCGAGGGGTCCCCTCATTAATAGAGGAGCAGAAGGTCATTAAAACAAGAGAGCTAGTCTCTAAAACAGACATGGCTATGGCTTGATGCTAACATGTTTGTTATCTGTCAGAATTCTGAGATTAAAGTCAGAATTCTGAGAAAAAAGTCAGAATTGTTGAAATGTTAAACTGAAATAAAATAAAAAAAATCAGTTAACTTTCTTTTTTCAGAGGCCCTAATCCTCTTCCGTACAAACAGGACAAATCTAAATTGAAAAAAAAAGAACTGCAACCAAACATCATGGGATGAGGGATCCAATCCATCCTTCCCATGTCGTACGTTTCGGACTTCATTCTTCTTTTGATCTAATATCATCCCTCTGATTGTTTAACAGTTATTGTTCTTGACATCTCCATCCGTCAGAATTCAATTATCCCCCCAACTCATCTAGGTGTGAACATGGGACCTGTTTGATTGATGCATGAATGCTTTTCGATTAGATTCATCCTCTTACATAACACAGTTTTAACATCCTTTAACCGAACATTTCAATGCGGGGTGGGATTTTTAATCGAACAATAAAGTACCTTGAGAGCTTCTGCATGGGTAGAGTTAGAAATCGCTGGTTGTGGTCAGATTACAGAGTTGACCACCCACAGTTTTGGTGCAGCAGCCGTCCAGCTGCGCAGGAATAATAATCCCTCTGTTTTAATCTGGTTTAGCAAGAGGCGATCCAAACCCTGGTCCCAAGGCCATCTGAGGCCACACATGTGTGAGAGAGAACAGGTTTCCCTGTGATTAATAACAAGTTGTCAACACTTTCTGTAGGTTGTGAGAAAGTGGGAAAATGAAGCCTTAAATCTGTGATTGTTTAATATAACCAAAGCAGTATGACGCAGTTTCAAATTGTGAGAACAAGCTGGTGGGATTTATACAGACACTGCTATGATTATTTGGCCCTCTTGTGCTCATATGATGTTTATTTGTGCAGAGGCAGCCTGGGTTTTAGTGGCGAAGGCCTAAATAGTAGGGATTATTGCTTGACTCTCCCTCTCTTAGCCTATTTTTCAGCATCAACCTCTCTGGATTTCATTTCATTCTCCGTTGTTGTGCTGACCATCAAACATGAGCACAGCAGGTGTTCATCGAGGATTCCTCAGAAAATATGGTAGGCTTCTTCCTTTCTAATGCATTTTTGAAAAAAATTGCACCTTTATGTTGATATGTTCTCCTTTTATCTCTATTTAACCCTGTGATAAATTCCAACATAAGAAGCCTTTAGCTTTTCTAAATGTCAATTTTATGTCGACTCCGTTGTCTATATTTGTATTTTATATAACACGAGTTATTTGTATGGTTCAATTTTGCAAAGCTATTAAAAATGGTTTTTTCTTAAAAATCTCATCTTGGAATTATCATGTTTTTTTTTTTTTTTTAAAGTAGACAATACTTGCAACGAAAAATGAAAGAAATAAGATTGCTCTTATCATCAGCCAACTCGATGTTAATTTGTGAGGTTTTGTGCCGAAGACTTGCCTATTAAGAAACTTTCTCAGATCATCACTTCAGTAGAGTCTTATTACTCCAAGAGTTAATATGCCTCATGAAATTGTTTCCAGATTTTTTTGTGCAGAAGGACAAGAGGTTTGATTTTAAAGCCAAGTCAGGATTTCATGGTTAACATCTGTTTTCTGGCTGCTGTGATTTCATCTGATAGTTGTATCATGGTAGATTACTGTTTACTGGCTTTTAATGTATCTCAGCTCTTCCTATTTTCTGGATTGAGGGTCTTGGAAAGGACTATGTAAGTCAGGATTAACCAACTGTTGGATTAGCTGTGCTCCTGAATGCATGCATACCATGCAATAAAAAGTAATATGCTGCTATAGTTCTGCTTTGAATGCTAAGATGGCTCTTTTTACTGACACAGAAGCATTCTTCATAATCATACTTCAACATTTTTTCTATTACAGAAAGTATTTTTCATATAGAGCTTGTAGACATGATATAGCACATAAAAATACCACTTATTTCTCAGTTATGTGCACAGCAAAGGTACCTTACATTAGCAAAGGTACCTTACATTAGTAAGGTACCTTTGCTCTTTCCATGGTTTTAAAACCGAAACATCAGCTATTTGCATGAATTGATTGATTAATTAATTGACAAAAACGGAAAAGCAACTGACATTTTTCAGATCTATAGGTGTTTGAGGAATGCTAAGGCAGTAAGGCATCAGCAATAGCCCTATAAAAGCACCTGTTGGGATCCAATGAGCTGGAGAGGCTTAGGAGGCCATTCCCATGTCTGATTCTACACAGGGAAAATAATCACAGATGGAAAATTCTGGACATGATCCTATTATATATCACAAGGTCAAATCATATAAAGTGTATAACATTCAAGAGCTCTATCTCAGACAATACAAGCCTCAGTCAATGTGTCTAATTAATTTATTTTGTTGGAGGTGAGATAGCCTATACTATCCTTTCTTTTCAATGGTTTGAAAAAAAAACTCCCTTACATTGCAGCATGAATTAGATTTGGAAAGTTGCAACTTAGTTATACTGAAGGTTTCAGGAAGAGTACTTTAATCCAATGCTATGACTCCACGTTAAAAACAGACACATTATATGAGCAAAGTGATATAAAACAACTAGTCAGCACAGTGTAGGAGGGGGGACTCACTGTGCTAAAGGGCTTGTTTTGCAGCCAGTGGACCCGGTCACCTTCAGGTTAATGATTTTACCATGATTTTCTATGTTTAACAAAACATTTCCCAGGTCAAATATAAAGTCATCTGTCTAAGAGCTGAAACTTCACCCTTAACTCAGATCAGTTGGACAATAATCATGAGAAAAGCAAAAAATTTACAATAGAATAGCTGAAAAAAAAAAAAAAAATCAGGTCCAGATCTGAATCTGATTGGTTGGACCTTAAGAAAAACTGTGCAGAAACAAATGTCAACAAACCGCAGCAGCGTTGTAAAGCAGGAGTCATAATGAGTGAATGAGGACGGCTACTTCAAGGTATTCCTCCAAAAGTCATATCAACAGGCTGAAGGTGTTTTCCTGTTCCTGTTAATTATCATATGATGTTTTTTATTCCTGAACTGTGTGAGGATATTTTTATATAAACAAAGGTCACCTGTATAGAACGATTGAAACAGCTAGACTTTCCCTTTGTGCAGAAGTTTTTAATGTTTAATATTTCTAGTAAAAAAGTGAGGTCTAGAAGAACAAGTTTTACATTAAGCCTTGTTTACCCAGTTAACAAGCCAACAAAAAAAGGGAAAAAGCTCATTAAAAATTTAAAAAAGTAAAACGTTAAAAAGTCTAGTCAACATTTATATTTAGGTTTATAAACCAAATAAATGTAAGTGCTGGATCAGCAATAATGCATCTAATGTTGTACCAAAAAATATGTTTCTTTTAGTCTCAGTGTTTTTCATGAATTTCATATAGAAGCACTTTTGTTATTTTTCTCAATATATTCGGGCAAGTTGGCGTTTCTTGGTATTACATTGACAATAATTTTTGCCATCAAAATATCCATATTTTTTTAATTCTACAAAGGTAATAAAAAATGTCCTGTATATTCCAAAAACACTACTGGCTAAGTACTTCATTGAAACCCTATAAAGGGTTAAATCCCCTGTACTTTCCTTCTGCAGGGGGCTTCATGTTTAAACACTGGAAAGAAAAATACCTTGTGCTCACTATGGAGGGAAGCCTGTTGGTTTGCCGGGATGCACTGTCCCCCCCTGACCAGGTGGTGGCGCTACAAAGCTGTGAGTCGATCGCTGAGGGAAGAGAAATCCTTGACCTGCCCAAGTTACCCCCAGGTGGCAGGAGGGATTGCTGCTTTGCCCTCATTCTGCCACAGAACAAGTTCCTGCTGCTTCTGTCTGACAGCCCTGATGACTGCAAGTGGGTGTTCTTTGTCCCACTCATGATCAGACTTTATCTGCACATGCAAGCATAATACCAAACCAGTGTTCCCATTCCTTTTATCGTACTGACAATCAGACTTTTTATTGCACATGTTTGTTAGTTTGACACAGATTAACCTGTGTAGTTGTTATCAGTGTGCCTCTGTGAACATAATAACATATCATTTTCTCCTTTCCTAGTCTTTGGCTGAAGCTGATCAGGAAGGTGAGAGAGGTCAGTCACTATTTATTTATTTTCTTATGTGTCCTGTGTCTTCATTAAAGCTTGAACTTCTGAATACAATATTGGTACTTTAACAAGCAACAATCACAACATGTAAACACTTTTCTTTATGAGACAACTATAAATGTTTTTTTATAACTGAAAAGCTAGGTGTGCACAACCAGCTGTCAGAATAAAGATCATATTAAAGTGAAGAGCTATCATAAAGTTAGAAAGTGTTAATCTTTTACTTCCAACGCTAAAAAAAGAAATATTTTGCTTTTTTATTGTTTTATCTGAGAGAACAAAAGTCAACATCCAATTATATGCTACAGCTGCAACTTTTGCTGTGTTCCATTTTTACTGAAAAGGTCTAAGTTCAGAGCTAAGAAAGAACCCTACCCAGTGATACTGTAGAAATAAATAATTTCTATGTACATTGTACAGCTATTTATGATAATATAGCTACTATTTTTGATCAAAATTGTCAACCAAATCACTGGTTAATGTTAGCATGGTCACTGTGCACAGATATTAAGCAAATCTTAGAGCATTTTTTGATAAAATGTTTTTTAATGTGTTTTTTTTTCCAGTCGTATTGATCTTATAATTCACAAAACTGCAATGGAAGCACTTTTTTGCATCACAAGAGTCATATGATCTGCAACTACGTAGACCTTATTGCTCATAGACATAATAATAAAACATGTAGAAAATATTTATATACCTGTCAACTGCCCACTAGATTGTAAAAAGATGCAGAAGAAAACGGAGAATAGTAGTTGGAGGATGATGGCACCCACTAGAGCTGTGGCTTAAATATGGACATATCTCATTTGTTTACATCCATCGCTGGCATGTTTTTTAAGAGTTATGACGATAACAAACGTATTCCTAAGCAATATTAGTTATGTTAGCTACTAAAAACTGGAATTGAGAAAATTTGCATTTTTGAAATTAGCAAAATATTGGCGTCATGTTGCACACATTTGTAATGGAAATGCAGCTAACTTATTTAGCTTCCATTTTGATCATTCATCTAAAAATGTAAAGTCCTATCTCGATAATTTTCTCTAATTTTATTCCTGCTTTTATTTTCCTCCAGATCTTAAAATCAGAGGAGTCATCGGCTCCAAATCAAGTGTACATTTTCAACATCTCTTATTAATTATTGCAACTATTTTCAAAATATGCTATATCTTGCTGAAAAAGATATAAATTAAAGCAACTTTAAAGTAAGAAATCAATCCATCCCACACACAATACCTAACATTTAACCAATTTTCATTAAATGGGGTTTCATCTCTATATTTGTTGTAAAGTGCTTTCAGAAATTAACACAGCATTATTTCCAAAACTATCTAGAATTATGAGAGTTATCTATTAAATAGGAGAAAATTTAAATTGAACATATAAGAGCTTTGCTTGAACAGTTGTCCATCCACCCCTCCTAATAAAGACACTAATGTGAAAAAAGAAGACATCCTTAAGGCAAGTTGTTGGTACTAATTTCAAGTTAATTTTTGTCAAAATTTGTTGTCTTGTCAAAAAAAAAAAAAACAGAATAATTGAGAATTTGGTAAAAGTTAGTATTTAATGAAACACCTACATTTTTAAAATCTTAGTTTTTTTTTCCGTACCCCAAAACAAATTCTTTCTACCATAAACTATAGCCTATACCGATAACTCAGATTATTTTGAAACTACTGAAACAAACTACTGATTTATCTGTTGTCAGTGGTCAACATGAAAATTCCTTTGTTTGTTTAGGATATGCTTTTATATCAGGGAGCAGGGAACCACCAGGAAACAGAGCTACCTACTGGAAAGCGTAATGAGAGCTCACTTTTATTTCTCTATTGTCTTCAGTGATCCCTCTTGCCTTGCCTTAAGGGACAGAGACAGCTAATCTTACGCAAAGAACATTACTCAATAAAAACAGAACCGTTACAACCTATTTGACCCAAAGCACATAAGCCAGTCAACGCAAAGTTCATAAGCATAAAAAAACACACCATAATTAAAAAATTTAGGGCGCTATAAGACTTTTTAAAGCAAGGTTTAAACAGTCAATAATACAGAGCTTACAAAGTGAAAGGGAGGCATTTTAATTGAGAACCCATTTTCAGTAAAATCCCTCTAATAATCCTTTCTGTTGTTTTATCATTTTTGTCATTTTCTCAGTATTAACAGCTTCTCCTCAGGGTGATGACTGCAAACGATGTAGCATGATCATATTTCCAATATGTTATATTGAATGGAGCGGAAGTTCTAAAGAACAAGTTGGTTTGTGCAACTGTGCTGCAGGAGCTGTATGCAAATTGAAAGATGCTTCAAGCAGCAGGTGATCAGTGCAGCAGATGTTTCAAGCAGATCCTGGGCAAATATATGCAGTGTAAAGTAGTGCCCAGATTCTCTCTTAACATTCATAAATGGAGGTTCTATCAGATAGGACCGCTTGATAAAGGATAGAGGTAGTGCTATCTTTGAGGGGCTTTGAGTGCAACCAGCATAAAATGCCTATTTTTGCTTCATTCCTAGGGTGTGATGTCTCCACTGCTCCTCCAGAGACAACAAAGCCTCGCTCCCTGCATCACAGACAGAGAGCCGCTGCCCGACTCCTCCAGTGATAAAGACCCCGGCTCACCCAGGGTTGGTGGGATAACGCCACTTCTGTCCCGGGTAACTGAGAGGGGAGGCTCCCTCAGAGACAGACACCAAGGTCAGCTTATCTCTAATAATTATTATTCTTTATTTATACCAAGGACTTCATCATTAGAGGGGCTGTTTTCTTTTCCTTCTCTCCATTTATTCAACTGATCAGGAGAAATATACATCAGCCGTAAGAGTTAAAGGTTTAGGTAAAAAAACAACAACAACAACAAAAAACTTTTGAGATACAGCTGGAAATACTTATGTCTACATTTTATTTCAAAAAAGAGATAACTGATAAAATCCATGACAAAGTGCTGCGCCAATCAAGTATGGAGGACCTAGAGAGTCACTGAAAAGAACACCAGCCATTTCAAATTCAACATTCAAATCAGGCAATTTGCAAACATTTTCTAATGTGCATTTTAAATTCAATTATCAAGAGGAATTGTAAATTGTATTTATTAATCCAGTATGAAATTTCTGGAATTTGAAAATGTATTTTCAAATAAATAACCAAAGAAATGAAAGAATCCCATTTAATTATACATATCTAAAAAATTATCAAATGGGACAGGCTGCTGGAACACCATTTGGCTCAGTGATTGATCAGTTATGAATCAAATCAAATAAATTGGTCAAATTAAATCAGTCCCTTCCACTAAAGACTCAGACTCACAGCCAGTCTAAAGGTTGTTGTCATCAAACACTGGGAACACAGAGAGAGTTCTACAAAAAGGTTTTTGTTTTATTTTTCTTCGGACTTCTTACATTGTTTTTGACTTTAAGTCTCCGTAAAAAGCACTTTGCAGTGTTTTTTCTGTGGTGCTTTAGAGATAACAAAATAAGCAGGAGTGATAGTAGTGAGAGTAATCAGTTAGAAAACAATCATAAAGAAGATTATATTAATAGAGTCTGCAGAATTAGATTTAGAGTCAGTGGTTTATAACTTTTTCCCAAATTTCAGATTTTTTCATCCCACCAGACTTTAAAACATGCTGTTAAATATTTTACAGCAGCCTTCTAATGCTATTCTTTAAGGCCATGCACATTAAATACAGAACTCACAGCCAGTTCTAATATTCTTTTGTACTGCCTAGAGATCCAAATCTTTAACAAATTCTCCAAAAAACTCTAAAATGATTTTTTTCCCTTGGGTCAGTAAGGACATTTGCTTTTTGGTATTTAATTTCACATTTTTATAAAAAAAAAAAAAGAAATTTGGTTTTACATGTTTAAGAAAATGAATTAAAACTTGACCGTAATATTAATCAAGATTACACAATTCAGCTTTAACAATCAATTCTAGTTTAAGTGTTGCTCAAATGCTCCATGAATACGGCACCACTGGCCTCAAATACCAGGGATTGTAGGTGAAGTCATTCTGGGGGGTGAGGGATTATGAAGATTGTATTTATTCTAATTTTATATTTCTTTTGTTTTTATGGTTGAAGGAGAAAAAGTGGACAAGCCTATTTAATAGTGTTTTCATATGCAGAACAGTTACAAGTACAGGAACATTTGCTTTTTTACTTAATCTGCAAGATTCCTTTAATTTGCTTCTCTTATTTGTTCTGGACCCAGTTTTAAGTAAAAACTATAAAGCTCTATGTAATCCAGATACATTTTATTATTAATAATAAAAAACACACAAAAAACACTGTATCTAAGCTATATTTCTACTGTTTGCTTTGTATTATAGGAGTTGGACTGAGGCAGCCTCAGCGGAGTGTGTCTGTGGCCCCTCCTCACCGGGTTTCTGATTGCCTTCGTCATGGTAACAGCAGTGATGCCCGGGCAGTTAGGGCAGTATGTTTGCTGATGGGTGGGGCAGCGGCCTCCTCCGCTTTGGGCTACCTCAGTTCCTGCTCCCCCACTACGCCCCTGGCCACCGGAGCCCCAGAGATTGCTGAAGGCTCAGGAACCTTCTCAGATCTTCCCACAGGAGGCTCCTTCCATGCCTGCAGCCAGGATGTAGACTCCCCGCATTTTAACAGCTTCGACTTTGAAGGAGACTCCGACTTTGATGCATTTGACTGCGGAGGATTTGCATTTTAATTGTGAGCAACTATAAAAAACACTGTTTATAGAACCAGATTTCTCAACAGTCTCAGTACAAAGTGGTAATCTAAACTTTTTGCTGTTGAATAAATAAGTCATCTTTAATTCTAATGTATATTTTTATTTATTTTTCTTGGCTTTACACCCATGCTTATAGAATAAATAGTTGATCATCTTGACGTTTGGTTTTTCATTTCCTGCTGCAGGATTGCCGGATATTAGCTGGGTGAAGGACTTAGACTTACTGATATTCAGATTTCCATCATCCAGAACATACCTGGAAGAGATTTTGCTGCTTTTGTATCTAAAAGTGTCAGAATTTCAACATAAAGAAACTGAAAAACCAAAATTGCGTATAAAAAAAGTTTTTGTAAAAAAACAAACATTGAATTGTACACATGTTGTACATTGCATATTTTAAATTATTTGAATTATTATATATTGAAGATCGGCATTGATTCCAGACTTATAGAATGATAATTATTGGTAAAGTTGTTGCAGTTCAATGAAATAACTGTTCATTGTCAGTTTGTTTTTCACTTGTTTTCTTGTAACCATGTTAATTTTCTAATGTGCTGAAGTGATCTACAAACTCCCATTTATATATTTTTTATCTAATTTGGGAAGAAAATGTTTCACCCAGAGTTGGCAAAGGATTTAACGTTAAAAGATAAAGACATGCAAATAAACCCTGCAATCACACCGACTCTATGCCTTTTACTCTAGTTCAATTTTAGTTCTGTTAATAACTTATCGGGGTCTCAGAGGAAACAACAGGCAAACGTTTGGAGACTGGAAATTATGCAACAGATTTGTACATAGGAGGGGTTTGTAGGCTCTGAGTGAATGGTTCAGACAGGTTTTGACTTTTGCGTCAATGACTGGGAAAAAAAAAATCCACAACAAGGGGAGCAAATAGTGTGAAGTCTCTGGGTGTACAGTAGCTGTGTGTGTCTTTTAGGTGTCAGTGCAACCATGGATGGGAAAACTGTAAATTCACCTCCTCAGGATTTAAAAGCGAATGCAGAAATAGTTTGAACTCTAAAATGATAACATTTTAAGAGAAAAAAAACATGAACTATTGCATTAAAGAACCAACTGTTGCCTCCTGTCAATCTCCGTAGCACATAAAACCTGTTCCAAAGCCATTAAAAGATTAGTATACAATATAACTAATCATTATACACAGATAGGAAGCGTTCATTTAGGTTATCTCAGAAAAAAGTCATTTCAAATAAAGAATGCTGAGACAAACCAAAAGCCTCAGACTCTACAGGCTTCAGCTTACGTAAGTTCATGACAGGACAAGTATAAAAAGGGAATGAGGGAAATGAAGAAGTAAGCTACATTTAAAACTTGGATCTGAGTGAAGCACAATTTTTCAATCTGAAAAAACTCACACGAAGAGAAAAGACAATTAGGAGAAATTTATTGATAATATTACTTTGTCTTTGGCGCTCAGACCTCGGTAGGAAAAATAGCGCTGATAGATATGCATGAACAGGGCTGTTTCCCCTCAGGCCTGAAACTGGTAGGGGAATGTAGATAGATGCTGTTGGTCAGTCTGTAGACTGCTGTTAGCGGGACGGTCTGCTGAGCTTTATGGGGAGATCCAGTGGATTGCGTGAGCTGATACTAGAGCTTCACTCAGGGACCTGGAAGACGGAAGTCCAGTTGGATAACACAGGTTGAGAGAACCTATCTATGATGAGCAAGCATGGAGCGACAGTGGAGAGGAAAAACTCCCCATTGGGAACAAACCTCTGGCAGAACCAGGCTCAACATGGTGGTCTTCTGACGGACCGGTTGAGATGAGATGCGGAAAGCAGTAAGAGTCCGGGAGGAACAACACTCTGATGAAGCTTTAGCTACGATGGTGGAGGAGGGGCTGGAGGTGGGTTGAAACGGTGTCATCTGAATGAAGTCACAGGAGCAGACAGGTGCGTATCGGAGGCCTTTTAAGATGAACTTTGGATGCCGATTGGCTTTCTTGGAGGTGTGGTTCAAAGCTGATTGGCTGTGTTGCAGGTGGATGTAGGCAGTGATGGGCAGTAGCGCCGCTACATGTAGCGAAGCTATTAGTTTAACTACATTTTCCAGTAGCTTGACCATAGCGTCACTGCTTTATTTATCAAGTAACTTTCCTGTAGCGACGTTATTGTTTTGATCAAGTAGCGACGTAGCATCCACAAACGCTACAAAATCCAGGGCAAAACTAAGAAATGAAACCAGGTTTTCTATTTCTAAACAACAATCAGCCACAAAACTACTGTAAATAGCAGTTTCAGCTGATGCTCTTATAAGTGGCGTAGTAGCACAGGCACACTCAGAAGGGTTAAACAAGCGCACCCTTTCCGAGGCTGTCGTTCTATTGGCTGGAAAGGTTGCTAGGCAACGATCCGACTGCAGTCTGAGAGCAAAACAAATTCGCAAGCAGAGCCTACGGGTTTGCGAGTGTAACAGAGCGCGGTTTGTGCGCGAAGAGAAGGAGGCAAGCGAGAGGAGAAAATATCTGTGCAAGAAGGATTAAATCTGAGAGAAGAAACAAAGATTTGAGAGAGAGCGCATGTTTTGAGTGTGAGCATTATAAGTTTTGAGAGCAAGAAGATGAAATTCTTTTCTCTAATTGAAGTTATGTGCTCTTGCATTATGGCAGGATAATTCTCCCATATCTATGTGCCACTAAGATACTCTAATTAGAGAGCAGTAGTGAAACTTCCATATTGTATTTTCATGGCCTAGTTTACCTGACAGGATGTTTACATAAATCTGTTTTTAGGCTGTGCACAGATAATATTTTTTATGGAGGAACAACTCTACCATATATAAAATAAATACATAAATAAATAAATGCTCAATAAATAAATAAATAAGCATTCAATTAATTGCCTCCAAAAATACAATGAATAAATATGTAGGTAGAAATTAAATTATATGGTGAGACATATATATATATGTATCTCTTAATTAGCTTCTTTATTTTTTCACCTTCTTTTGTAAACAGTTTTGTTTGTTACTTGAATCAACTGTTTAATTGAGGTCTTTGTTAGGGTTTTGTTTTCCCTAGAGATGTCCATTGAATGCAAACTCATAGCCATGTCTCGGTGTGTAGAACACTACACAGTACCTTTAATTTGGTTCTAATAACAGCAGATTGTTTACTAGTTTGTCTACTAGTAATTACTTTAGTTTTTATTTTAATATGCTGATCATAAAGCAATGTTTACACTGTGATTTGTCATTGGCTGATCTTTAATAAATATTTTAACCAGTGCATCAGACTCATTTTGAATTGACATTAGGTTGGTACAACGTTAAGTAGCTTCTGATGTAGTTAAGCTACTTTTAACACATTAGTGTAACTTAGCTTGCTATAATTCTTTAGGTGGTAGCTTTTGTGTAGTGAAGCTTAATTTATTGTTGAGTAACTGATAGCTTAGCTCACTACACTGGACAAGTAGCTTGCCCAACACTGGATGTAGGAGAGCAATGAGCTTCTTCAGTTGAACTTTCGCCTAGGCTCCATTTAACCAACGCATAGGTCTTTTACCCATAATGCACAGTACCTTGTTTGAAGAAGACCAAACAAAATAAATTGTCTCACATCATCTTATGCCAACTGTCCAGCATGGCGATGGAGGGCTGAAGGTTTGGATTATATGCTCTGAGCTCTGAAGTAATTTTGCAAACATGAACTCTTGTTTACCCAAATATTCTAAAATCTGACCGCTGGGGTCTGTTACATAAAGCAGGTTTTATGAAAACTTTGTTTACTGAATCTGAAAAATGGGAAACTCTTGAGTTTTCCTTTTCACAAAGAGAGTTTACTCAATTTCTGTTTCAGTCACCATAGTAACATTCTCGTGAGAGCTAACCCGGTAGGTAGGAGATTTTCTTCGGTAAACTCTGAGTTTTTAAGTGTGTTTTTAATATTGAAGGATTCAATTTAAAACAACCTTTTAATATCATCCTATGTTACTTTTTGAGTTTAAAATAGCTCCTTATGACTATTTTCTTTTTTAGTGGCATCATCTAAAAGCACAACACTAAGAAAGTCCCTAAGTTTATTCAAATACAAAATCACTTTTAGAAACAATAAAAGAAAATGTAACACTAAAATAAACAGCCATATTCAAGCATTTTTTTTACCAGACGCTAATGTTAGTACTAATTTAAATCCATGTAAAATAAAATCAATGTAATTAGTGTTCATCTGTTTGTACTTGTCTTTATCCTATATTAGAAAGTAGAAATTGTCAATAAAAGCACTGTGATTATATGGAAACCTAATTATGCTTTCTAAACAAAAAATAGCAAATGTTGGGCACCATCTCATGTTGTTATACTCTATAAAAGAAATAAAACCTGCTATTTATACCTGAACTGCCTAAAAGGGTCTTCAAAAAATTAAAACATTAACAAAGAAGTATTGATAAAAGGGAAACCCTCACATTTTCTCCTTTAGTCAGTCTTTTATTGTTCATTTTTCCAGCAGTCTTCAGAACTCCTGTCTGACTCAGAATATTTAGTTTTATAACTTTTATTAGAGAAAAAAGTTTTTGTTGATAAAATGTATAATACTTCAAAATCAAATATTATTTTGAGATGCTAAGGTTGGTTCTACAAATCAAAACACTCAATCAAATAAGAGGGGAAGCAATTATGTGGATTATTAGACAATATGAGGTTAAAGAGTGATAATTCTGCTGGATTTTTTGTTTAAAGATTGGGTCTAATTGGAAAATAAAAAATCTGAAATAGATATAAAAGAAAATCACATGGTAAAAAAATAATAAAAAATCAATTTTAAAGGTACACTATGCAACCGGTGTTGATTTTCCAGCGAGGCTCCCCCCAGAGGGCGAAAGTAAAAGTGCACTGTCGTAAATATGCACAGCTGTTCTCCTGGTTTCTCCGTCAAGCCAGGCGCGGTTGTTTTGAGCTTAGCAGACAGGCGAACGCAACGAATGACTAATGCTGCGTTCACACTGGACGCAGCTGGCGCGACAGAAGCAGCGAGTTTACATGCAAAGTCAATGGTTGACGCTCGTCAAGGCGCAGCAAAAGGTCCCGGCGGCGGGTTTTGAGCAACAGCCCCAGCACGTCTGAGCAGCTGAAGCAGTGCGTCGGGTGCGTTTAAGCATCTGACGCAGGGAGAGAGACACAGCGCTGATGAT